ATATAATTACATCTAATTACATACAATTACATATAATTACATCTAATTACATACAATTACATATAATGACATATAATTACATATAATTACATATAATTACCTTTAATTGCATATAATTACATATAATTACCTTTAATTGCATATAATTACATATAATTACATTTAATTACATATATTACATATAATTACATATAATTACATATAATTTCATATAATTACATATAATTACATCTAATTACATACAATTACATTCAATTACACCTAATTACACATAATTACACATAATTACACATATTTGAATATAATTACATATAATTACACCTAATTACACATAATTACACATATTTGAATATAATTACATATAATTACATATAATTACATATAATTACATATAATTACATATAATTACATATAATTACACATATTTGAATATAATTACATATAATTACATATAATTACATATAATTACATATGTATATATATGTATGTATATGTATATATTTGTAAATCAATAAATATCTATTTAGATAGATATACAGACACTGACCATGATGTAGCTGTGTCCACATCTGACATCCATCTGGTTTGCCACTTTTGTTTTTTCTTTACAAGGCAAATTTTGTTTCCTCCAAAGGGCCTGGTCATTATCCATGAATTATCCGGCTATTGTTGGTGAAAATCACCATTAATCACATTAGTCACCATTGATATAGTCATCAATCCATCAATCCAGAGATTTGTATATAGTTTTGTACACTGATTGTAAGGATCGTCACCATTGTGGGTGAACAAAGCAGATAGACCATCTTTTGAACATGGCACACATGCTAAACAGTATGGATTCATCAGCGAATGAGAAGTGTGTGATCCAATTTTGGAGTGCTTACTGCTGAACCATTTCGCCAATGTCTTGTCGCCCAACTTGGCAAACACATGCAGTTTTTCGAGTGGCATGTCGTGGTGTAATACGCACCAGATGTTGCAAGATATCCTGAGATTTTCGGTGACAATCTTTCGTGGCATGGCCATGGGTCATGTACTGACCAGGATTGTTGACCAACAATACTCGCAACATGGACTGATGCTAATTGTTCGTGCTGTTTTTTGTGGTTGATTTTAGATATAATTTCCCATAGTGAGAAATTCGCCACCTTGATGAGTCCGCAGACCATCAAATGTGAGCCAGTGGCTGATTGGTCACTTGCAATTGGTTCTAAGCGACCAACTGTTCTACTGCAGACCTTTGATTTCTGCAAAAAGGATGTATGAATTGGCGCCTGGAACGGCAGCATGAGGCGCTCAGCCCTATCTTGGTTCACCGGATCCAATAGAAACTATATAGGGTTACTCCATATATTAACCACCATATTACTATGGTTTCTATTAATCCAATATATATATATATTAATCCACCATATAGTTACTATATTCACCGGATCCCAAATGGCTTTCAGTCATATGATTTGGGGATTTCATGGGACCCAGGCATGTTTCTGGACGAGGCTCGCGACGGGGCCATTTTGATAAGGGAAATGGATGGAAATGGATGGTCAATCACTGGGATTGATATAGGGCTATTATTTCAGAGAAATCCAGTTTCATCATGAATTGATGAGTCATGATGAGTCACGTGTATCGTGTTGATATGATTTAAAATAGGCGACGATCATGCAAACCATCAGAGTATTGTCGGACTGTGGCAGGTCTGGTGCCATACTGGCCATAGATGGCAGGGCTGGTATATCGGTATATCAGCTAAGCAATGCCTAGTAAAAACCCGATGTTGGTTGTGGCTAGGTTTATGGCAGGTTTGATGTGGCTCGCTCTACCCATAGTGGGACTCCCTAGTGTGTTACCCAAATAGATAGCAAAGAAGTGTATTCCAGCTGGGCTGCAGGATTGAGTCACCAAAATTCTGCGGAGACTAGCTTTTGTGGTCTTTTCCGAAGATGGCCAACGCAATTTGGAGTTTAGCCCTACCCTGCAGGCACAGCGGCAGGCTTCGAAGCAAGTAGAGCCAGCCCATATCGAGGCAGTATCAATGGTGGCACAAGCAATAAACCTCGGGAGATGATCCACCGGGCTGTTTGAATCCCTTCATCCGCTGATGTTAAACACACCAAAAAAGAAACCATGGTGGATGCTGGATGTAGGGGATGAAACCACATATTCGGGACCCTCCAATCTTGTGGCTCGTCCACCGATGCAACGGTAGAAATCACCCAGCATCGAAATGTGTACATTGTGAAGTTCATTTTCTCGGAGCAATACAGCATTTTGTTGGTGATGTTTCAGGTTACTAGGTTTTGGTGTTTAGGCTTTGATTGGTTTCATATTGGAAAACCATGGAATTCTTCGGTAACATTTCTGTGATTTCTGTGCATGTAAAATCAGCGGATCCAATACCTATCATTTGGTGATTTTCTGCTAGCAGGACAGGCTGCTAGCAGCTGTTTTTTTTCCAGTGATTTTCTTACATTGGCTATGGTGGTTTTGTTAATTCAGACACATTTTCTGGTTGGTGGTTTGGAACATCGTTTTTTTTTAATATAATTTATATATTATTTTTCCATTCAGTTGGGAATGTGAAGTTGGGAATGTCATAATCCCAACTGACTTTAACGTATATTTTTCAGAGGGTAGGTATACCACCAAGCCGTTCTTTTTTTCCCATTGGGGTGATCCCAAGGTAAGAGTCCTGGCATAGCCGCAATGATTGCATCCTGATTTACCTTCTTTCATCGTTACAGGACCATCTTTCCATTAGGCTTACAAGAAAATCCAGATAATCCAGACTCCTGAGAATCGTTTTCTAGATTTTGTAGCCTCTTTTCGTGCACAATCAAACATGGCTTGTTGGAAAAGCTCCCCATTGATAATCATTTCTATTAATTATGATTGTCCCAGAGATTCTCCGGCCCACGTTTGATCGCACAAGCTGGGAGGAGCTTCAACAAGGTGCCGGTCAAGATGGGCAACTGACGATGTCCTACTTGGAAGTGCAGTTTATAAGTGGATAGATTTCACCATATTTATAAGGGCTATTTTCATCATGTCATATCATGTTATATCGCAATTTATGAGAGTTTAGAACTATTTTTTGAAAAAAAAAGTTTATACACATTTCTTACCTCAACTGCTCTCCCAGTCGTATGTCGACATATTCACATTTCTTTTCACATAGCCATCATACCCGATGATAGCTGGTTGCTTCCAGCTCTGCGCCAAGGGCCAAGCGAGACAAGTTTACTCCAGGATCAGAATGTCACAGGTTCTGTACATGTTTCAAGACTTTGTATGTAGTGTGTAAAATCTGCAAGGGGTGTTATTTCATGTTATTTCTTTTTGGATGATGCTCCTCCCACCTGGAATCGAATCGATCAAAGACAATTTGGTGATAAGATTAATCAGGATTAACCCGCCCTCATAGTCAACACCCATTTAGACACCATAGTGTAGGGATGAAACCACTATTATATATTGGTACCCCATACGGGCTGTGCGGAATATGGGGCCAGCGCCAGGGCCGGGACACCGAATGTCAGGATGCAGAGAGGAGTCGCCCCACTTCCAAACATCTTCCGAGTGGCGACTGCACGGAAGCCGAGGATGTGGACGATTTGGGAATGGCTCAAGTGGATTGATTGTGACCCCTTATATATCCTTATAATCCTTATATGTATATATATATATATACCAGTAGAGCCGGGGCAAGCGGGGTGACGGAAGTTTCTAAGAGTGGGAAACCTATAGGAAAGAAGCCGTTCCCTGTGAGGTCCTAACAGCCG